TTTTAAAGGGTCAGAGGGAGACTCCAGGTACACAACGAGTTGCCTTTGAAACCCCCCACGGTTTGGCTACCCAAAAGGGGGCGGGTGCTCAAGCCAGGCTCAGCCTGGACCGACGCCTGGGTCTGGACTCCCAGACTCGATCCTGCTTTTCAGGGTGGTAGCACAAGGGGTTTAGCAGGGCTCCTTAAAAGATCTCCATTTTGCAACCATTTGAAACATGGCCTTTTCCACCAACATAAAGGGAAACCACCATTTACAAGGCAATGTTCAGGTGTATAATTTAAGCATCCCTGTTTATCCAACCACTTGTGTGATACTTTTGGGAATCTCCCCCCTTGAAAAAGGGGGCATTGTCTTTGGGAAGCCCTTCCTGTTGTATCGAAGAGGTGGATTCCATTTCCAGTCGGCTTTGGAGTGCTTTCTGAATATCCCTTGCTAAAGTGCTTGTGTAAGGGGGCGCCGGGTTTTAGGTCTCAGGCACGGCCACCTTCTTAAACTGACAGGCGGTTTGAGAGTCGCGCGCATCTTGCGCGTTCATAGCAGCACGCTCCCATCTCCCCAAAATCTTCACCATGACGAACGAGGAAACTCTGCCATGTTGGCTAGTTGGGCAAGTGCGCAGCCACATCAGAAATGGATATCGGAGATCAAACAAAATGAGAGGTTCCCAATTGTAAGGCTTCCAATTCCTTATGGGCAGGCTGATTTGGGCTTGGTACCACGAGCGATCAAAAGCACGGTCCAATAGAGCTGCAACTGTAGCAAGGAGGCTGCTACGCTTACTTGGCTTGCTCGTTTTGCTCTCGTCTGCCACGGCTCCGGCGCCAATGCGCTCGCTTCTGCAAAGACTGCGAGCAGTGCAAGCAGGGCTCGGAAAAAGGGGCTGCAGGCAGGCATTTGTCTGACTGCTGCCCAACGCCGAGCCTCTACACACTCTGCTGGAAGTGTGGCATAGCTGCCATAGCGCAGCATGGGAATGAATTCTGAAATGGCCGGCTGTGGGCAGGAAGATTGTCATCCCTAAAATAAAAACTGTTTTTATTTCCTTGGCAGGCCGAGCCCTCGCTGAATCAGTTTTGGTCGCAGCAACTCTTTCCTCTTGCAGCTATAACAGCCGCAGCAAACGTCTTACTTAATCGCCTACTAGAGGATTTCAAAGCAAAAGGGAAACCAGGCGGATCTCGTCCTACCGCCGTCTTTCCTTGTCTTCAATGCGGGCCACCTTCAACAACAACAGTCCAAAGGTCAACAATCAATAACTAGTAGCAAAAAACACATGGCCCGTAGCAATACGTCCCTCTATACTCTATACTAATTTGGCCTGGTGGTTTGGAGGTTAGGGGGTCGGTGTCCCGTTTAGAAGATCCAGGGGTCAAAACCACAAATCCAAAACACAAGCCAAAGCATTTTACCGCCCTACCGGTCAGGATTGACTATCAACACCGCGCCGCGCCAAAAACAAATGGTGGTTTGCAGATGGGCCTGCGCCCAAAGTTGCCCCAGCCCCCCCCCCCCAATAAGAAAAACCAGCAACAACAGAGCACAAAAGAACAATTGATGTTTCAGTCAGAGAAGCCCAACAGTTGGCGAGGGTTGGTTACATGCCAGGCTAGGACCAGCCGGTTAGCATGTGGACATCAAAAACAAAACGGTTTTGCTACTCAGTTGAAGGCGTTACCAACATGGCACGAGCACATGCCTGCCCACAGCAAAACTTCAAGTTGCACAGCGTTGCGACCACAATGCTACTCTTCTGCTACTTGAGCAGGTGCTGCGCGCTCTTGAGAGCTTTGTTCTTGGGATCAAGCCTTTTTGGCCCTGCATCCTGCCCGGAAGCTGCACAAACCGCCCTATAACCGACTTGAAGCAACTCGCAACCTACCTCGGGCTTTTGACAGGTCGGACGGCTCATGTCTGCGTCATCCGGCAATTGCTCAGGGTTGGCAAGGAAAGGCAAGTCAATCTTGAACGTGTTGGTGTCCCCGTCCGCTTCGCCCTCCCTCTTCAAGCAATCGAAGGTCACCGTCATCTTGTCCGTGCAATATTGCATGTTCGCATTTTTGGAGACCGGCTTCACAAACCAGCCTGGCACCAAAGAGTTGCTGAACAAGGATTTGTGCTGGTCGCCGGAAACAAAGAGCGGCGCCTTCAACGTCGAGCCGTCGCTCACCACCTCAGCTGAAATGGTTGCGGGTCTGTGGAAGGCAGCGTAGTCTAATGCCCTAATGTCTTTTGTCCGGGAACACGCATCCAGAGTTTAAAGCAGAGACCAAACAAAAGTAAGCTCCTAGGCTCCTAAGCTCCGTGCACACAAAGGGATGCAATTCTGCGACATCTCTGAGGTGACGGTCCCCGCCAAGTAGAAGCGCGTGCCCGGAGGCATCGACCTTGCCTTCAACGAGGGGGTCTTGCTACCCAAAGAGAGCCCGCAATAAGACATAGCCTTCACCGATGCCCTTGAATAGCATCTCTGAAACAGCTCTTTCTCGATTGAGGAACAGATCAGCTTGATGGTCATGGCGTTGAACATGTCGTGAGGGATGACCACTTCTGGGAGCAAGCCACCAAATGGCCTGCCTGGCGCAGCATCCTCGGGCACGTACGCCAGAATGTCACGCAGAATTTTGAAGCCCCCGTCGTCGTCGACATTCTCAGGCGCACCAGCCTCCAGAGTTTCCACGCACAGGGGCGCGTCAGCCTCCACTGGCTCCTCCTGCCCAGGAAGAAACCCTGAGTCCCTGTCACTAAATCACGCACTATAACGGCCACCGCAAGATAAAAGAAACAAGAAAACAGCCTCGCTCCTGATAGCTTAGCTTTGACAAAACGGGTGTTCGGCGCTTGGCATTCAAAATTGAAACTCAACAAGGGTAAGCCGTGTTTGACTGTGAAACAACAAAACCGAAAACCTTTGTCTTCCCCCCTCATGGCTGTCAAGAACATCTCAACTGAGATGCAACTGTCGCAACTCTCGCAACTAATAACTTCAAATCTACCTGCCCTTTCTGCTGGCCACTTTTTGCAATAAGCTGACCTCAGCTGACGCCTGCCATCGTGGCATCTTGCTAATGCACGCAGGCCGCTAGGGTCGGCTTGTCGGGATGTCTGAATTCCAATATAGTTGCCAGGCGCCAAACTGCGCTGAAGGGCGACAAATCAGACGTAGAAACTGCAAGAACTACTTCGCCCTATCGAGCAATCAACCGTCAACCTTTGTGAGTCGCACGCCATCTAAACAAAGACTGGCAACAACGTCGCGCTGCCAAACGCAGAAACCAACCAACCAACCAACCAACCAACCAACCAACCAACCAACCAACCAACCAACCAACCAACCAACCAACCAAAAAAACAACCAAACAAAACAGCCAAAGAAACACAAGACAGGCAGACAGACAGACAGACAGACAGACAAACACAGAGACAAAGACAGAGACAGAGACAGGGAACGGGCAGGCAGGCAGGAAGACATGCAAGCAGACATGCAACAGGCAGACAAACAGGCAACAAACAAAAACAAACACAGAAACAAGCACAGAAACAAGCACATAAAGACAGACAGACAGACTGACAGACAGAGTTCCTGACTGACCAACCGACCGACCGACAGACACGGGAACAGACAGACAGGCAGACAGGCAGGCAAGACAGACAGAGCAGACAACAACAGACATACAAACAAACGACAAACAAGCAAATTAACGCAGGACAGTTAGAAAGACACACAAGCCGTCAAACAAGCAAACAATCAAACAAACAAACACAGGCAAGCAACGCAAAACAGAACCAGCGAAGCGCAGTAGCAAAACCAGTAGCAGTAGAAGTAGCGGTGGCTGTTGTTGTCATTGTCGTTGCAATTAGTGTTGCAGGTCGAGTCGCTGACGCTGTTGCTGCGTTGCTGCGTTGCGGTCCGGTTGGTGCTGCGGTTGCTGCGGCTGCGGCTGCGGCTGCTGTTACGGCTGTTGCTTGCCACCAATGTCGCTGTTGCCGTTGGTTGCGGCCGCTTGCTTGCTAGCTGGTTGGCTGGGCTGGTTGGTGGTTGATTGGTTTGTTGTCATGTTGTTTTTATTTGTGCTTGTTCGGTTGCCCTGTTGCTTCCTTTGAAACTTGCTTGCCGTTTGCTTGTTTTGTTTGTATTTGTGTGTGTGTGTGGTTGTGTTGCTTGTTTGGTGCGCTTGCTCCCTACAGCTACCACGAAAAAACCAACAACAACGACAACCGGCGACGGCTCACAGCGCGACGCGCGTGCAGTCGAGCAAGACCAGCAGCAAGCAGCAGCGGCAGCAGCAGCAACAGCAACAGCAAGAGCAACAGCAGCAGCAACAGCAGCAGCAGCAGCAGCAGCAGCAGCAGCAGCAACAACAACAACAACAACAACAACAACAACAACAACCAACAACAACCAGCAACACCAACCACCCCGGCCACAGCCGCGCATACACACCCACAGTGGGAGCAGGCAGGGAAAGGGTGCCTGGACAATTACAGTTGCAGTTGCAGTGAACTCAGTTACAGGTTCAGTTTCGCTTGCCTTGCTCAACCTGACATGTGACACGGCGTGATCTGACCATGACATGTCAGCATCAGCGTCTACGTCCCCACTGTCTGCCCAGCCTTGCAAAAAAGCCGTGTTTCGAGATGTCGCTCCTTCCTTCATGGCAATCCAGAAGTAAGATTCAACCTGCTTGAGGGTTGGGTCAAATTCTGGAGCTCTCAGAAACAAGCGTCGGCAAGATCGCAGCGCTGGCAACAGGCAGGCTGGCTGCAAAGGTGACGGGTTACTGGCTCACGAACAGGGGCGCCAAAACGAAAATGCAAACTGGAGGGGCCCCGTCAAGATACAACATCACCCCGCCTCTTGCCTGACTCGTGAAAACAGTTGACTTGAGCAATCCGGTCACCGCTAATCTAAGATTCTAGAGCGCCAGCACTGCCAGCTCTGAACTCTCACATTGCGCGAGAATCAAAACCAAAAAGGATCAAACCGGCATGGGCTGTCACTAGCCAGAGCCAGAGCCTTCTTCGCCCTCGCTGCTCGAGTCGATGCAGAGCGGCCCATCCCCACCAAAAGCGGGCGCAGGAGGAGCGCCTCCTGCGCTCATCTCCTCGACTTGACCTGCCATCTCAGAACTGGTCCGCGTGCAAAGGATCGAGTAGAACCTTAGCAGCCAAACTGCTCTAAATGATGGAAACCTCTGCCTCACAATGACCAACCGCCCCCCCAGCTAAAAATGGGACTTTAACTTCAAAGGCCACAGCAACGCCATCGCGCCACAGCACGCCACGTTCATGGAGTTGCCCATCTGGGACACAACTGACGCATGCGTGCGCTTGCGCGGCACGCCCTCCGCAGGAGCAAGCTGCAAACCGCTGGCGGCATCAGCTGCAAAGGAGCAAACCAAGTGGGAATGTTTGCTCGTTGGGCTTGCAAGCTCAGGGCGGACAGGAAACGCTTGGCTGGCAAGCAATTCGGACGGGGCCAACCATCGGTCTGCGGAAGGCAACCAAACGACGCCGCAATTCTTGATCATCGCGTGAAGCACTCGCCCCTGCGACGCTTGGCCGTGTTTGTCCGGGTTCTGGTTGAGCGAGCGGGCCACAGAAGGCTGGTGCACCTTTGCGTACTTCAGCTCGAACTCCTGTTCTTTCCTGAGGGGCCAAACCGATGGCAATACGGGCAAAGCATGGGTCGCTCCTTTGAAAACTTAAAACAAAAAGTAGGATGAAAGAACTGCGGCGCTTTGGATCAAGACCTCATGACTACGGCGGGACATTTACTGACAAGTCAACTGCTGACCAAGCGTCGCTGTCAGTGCCTCCCAGAAAGGTCGCGGAGACCTCTTCAGCTCATCCAAGGACTTGCCAGATGCCAAAGACTTGGGTCGTGTCATCGCCCACTTCAATTCAGCATCCAGCTCATCACGCGTAGCAATCAGGTAATGCGAGAAGTCAAAAGAGGCGGCCACGCACCTGTAGAACATGGGGATCACGTTTTGCAGGCTGCTCCACGATTGCGTGATCGTGGAGCGGCTGATGCATGCCCCCCACATTCTTTGCCGTCTGGAAGCTGTCCCAAAATTCATGGCATCAATCACCACAAAGAAAGAAGCGTACTTTGGGTTCCACGCCTCTGCCAAGATTGATGTGTCATACATGTGGGAGCACTCAACGATGACGCAGTCGTCCTCGTCAAAAGAAAAGACGAACAACTGACAAACAACAAGAACAAATGCCAATCACACAGGTCAATGTGTCGCCTACTTTGAAAAACACGCATCATGGTGGTTCGCCACATCGCGTGCCTGAGTCACCTAGCAGCAGTCACGCGCCCTTCACCCCCCGTAATGACCCCGTGATCGTCTGCAAGAGTGAAACAGCCACGCGCTAACACCATGACCAATGAGTTGGCAACTGGCACTTGGGCAACAAGCGCCAAGCAGGAAATATGCTTTGACAAACCCTGTTCAAGCACAGGCTCTGGCAAACACCAACCCCAACAACAAGTTGGTCTTACTCAAGCCCTTGGGCCAGGGCGGTTGTTCGCTTGGAATGCGAAGGGCCTAGTTGATAGCTAGTGGCAAACAAGTCAAGCAAAACTTTGTTCAAAATATGGCAGCTCCTCTACGTCCAGGACCAGAGCTGCCATTGCGCACCAGCAATCAAAATCCTCAGAATCGTCACGTTGGCGGCTACCTTGGGGCGACCAAGACACGCATGGAAAGCCTGCATAGGCTTCGCGGCAGGGCTCCACGACGCACTCCTTCTGATGCAGCACGCAGAAGGAGGTGCGCTTTGTGGCCTTGCCGCTGTGTAGCATGGGCATCACCGTGTGGCGGTTGAGCGGTAGGCCTCTCTCACGCACAGATTGGATTGTTGCCAGCACCTCGGGCTTGAAAAACCCCTTGATGTCACGAAAAAGATGCTTCGGCTTGCACGGCCCCGACTGAAGCTCATCCTGACAGCTCACGTTCCACTCCACAGCGCTCTCGTGCGACGGCCCCTCCATGCTGGGGATGTTCAAGTAGTCTTTGACCATGGCCGTCATGCTGTAGAGCGCAACTCCCGGAGCATCCACCCCGCTGAACATTGTCCTGTAGCGCCTTCCCCTAAGCGAGTGTGCAAGGTAATGCAACACCCCATTGGGCATACGGCGCTGGCACACACCGGCGTACTGGTCAGGCCAAGCGCACATGCCCGGGAGGTCATGCACGATGGGGCGATCTGTCTCGGCGGGCGGCCCCCACCCGGCGGGAAGCGTCCAACGGGCAACGTCACCCTCAAACATCTCCGGCAAGATCAAGCAGGTCTGAGGTGGCTTGGGGGGCGCCGTGGGGGAAGCAGGCACTTTCAACAGCTCGTCTGGAACTCGCAAGTCAATGGCTCCAGTCTTCAGCAAAGTCTGCCCATTCCTGAAAAGGGCTGCCTGGGATGGCCCGCTGGACCAAAGGGGAAGCGGCTGCAGATGTAGGGCTGTCGCTGGGTCTGTAGCAATCTCCGCAGCTTGCGCTCCGCCCAGAATTTCCTCTTGCGTGGCTGCGGGCGCCGCAAGGGCGGCAGGCGGAGCTTCCTCCATCGACGGCGGGGCTTGCGGAAATGTGGAAATTGCAGCAGCGTCGGCGTTCACCACAGGGTTCTCAGCGGGCTTCTCCTCAACAAGCTGGCTCCGAGCCACCAAAGCTGCCTGGTCTCCAACCTTCTTGGTCCGGCCGGGAGCGCTGGCTGGAACTGCAGACGCACCGGGCTCAACAGCTGCGTTGGCGTTGGCAAAGATGTTTTTCATTGTCAGCCGGATGGGCTGGTCAGCCCCTGGTGGCACAATGAGCTTGGGCTTCTTGGCAGGCCGCTCTTCGTTGCTAGAAGCGATCTTGGCTTTCGCTTTTGCTTTGGCCGTGACCTTGGCCTTTCCAACTTTCGGGGCCATTGCGACAAGGCTCACAAAGATCAAGGATCGGCAAAATGCGTCTGCCAGAGCAAGAGCACAGGGAAGGCGCAAAGTCAACCTCCCCTCCAAACAAAGCTATGATGAGTATTGAGGAGCCTTGAACTTCAACATGCTCAGTTCAGTGTCGTTGTCCGGAATTCCCCACACGATTGTTGCGCTTGCGTAACATTGCCCTCGGTTTCCCCACAAAGCAAAAAGTTACAAACGCGAACGCGCTCCTTGACCTTCATGTTCACAGCAGATCTGCGACCCTCAGGCTCACCCGGGCCGTGGGTGGACACAGCAGACAGCAACTCCTGAATGCACTGGTTGGTGGAGTCCATGTGTCCTGCGGGCAAGCAAGACATGCTGGTGGAGATCCTAACCACTGCATGACCTTGACTAAAGCCAAAACGCAAAAATGGTGCCCCATCCTTGGGCACACACTGCGGCTGACGTCACACCGTTGGCAGCCGCCACCTTGGACACGGCAGTGGCAATGGTGGCAGCAGCGGACGCGTTGGGCTCTCCGTTTGTGGGCAAAGTGTCCGAGATTGCCTTGATTTTGGACAGGCAACCAACGATAAGGTCTCGCAGGGCCACCCGCAGGGCAGACCAACACTTAAAGGGCTTTCCACTGACTTGCACAGTCCCCTCAAAGCAGAACTCCAGGCCGAGCGAGAACACAATGGACCTGATTTGGAGCAAAGGCTTCTCATAGCACTTGCGGAATAGCCAAGACTTCTGGCTCTGGACCACATGGTTGAAAACTGCAAGCAGGTCATCGAGGAAGGTCTTCTCACGCTTCTTGGCACTGTTTGGGGCGCTCGTAGTGTCCAGGAAAATGTTGCCCATGCACATCACCGCCTGGAAATCAGCACTGCCTGCAATTGCGTCATGCGGTCCTTCGCTGTCCAGGCCTGGCGCATCATCGCCAGTCAGAGCTTGCGCGTCTTCGACGTGGTCGGACATAGTGATCTCGCCCCCGAAGACTTCCCTGCTTAAGCGCTCCTCTGGGACATCAATGCCGGCGTCACCCCCGCTGCTGCCTGCCACCGCCTTCTTGCGCCGCTTCCCTGACTCATCAGGGTTGTCATCCGCCTTGCCCCGCTTGCCCTTGGCAGCCCCGGATTTGGCCTTTGCGGCTGACTTGCCAGCCCCGTTCTGCGGCGGGTTGTAGGCAAGGCTCGAGCCCATGGGAGTGCTCACTAACCTCAAAGTGTCCTTGTCGATCTTGGTAAACACCATCGGCACCTCCAGCTGCAGTCTTAAGGGCACAGCCGAACTACCAGTCATCTTTTCGCGCGTGGCATGGAAAGAGCGCTGGGGAACAATGTTAGGTTGGTTATGTTGCAGCTAGTCAGCCGTGCAAACTTTCCAAACTGAAGCAAGTAGTTGGCCCTGGCTGAAGAGTTGAAAGGAAGAGTTGAAAGACAAAACGTGGCCAGGGCTGTCTTGCGCAGACGTGTGGGTTCGGGTGTGGCTATGAAACAGTGAAACATTAAACAGTGCATCACAACACGCAACCGGCACGAGTCAAGCTGCGTCCCGTTTGGAGGTAGGCACTGAGCAATCTGGCAGGTCGCAATCCTCGGAGACGCTGGGAACCATGAAGCGGCTGCCCTCCAGGAAGAGCTGGAGGTGTGCATCCGCGGGGATGGAGTCCTGGTATTTCTGCAGGATGACACTCCACTCCTGCAAGCAAGTGATCGCAGTCACTGTGTCCAAGCGGGAGTCGTCAAACATTGTGATCGCGTCCAGGAAGGATTGGAAAGCTGCGGACCAGTGCTTGGTGGCAAGGAAATTGGCGAGCGCCTTTGCATCCTCGAAGCAGTTCTTTGAAGGGTAGTCGCCGTCGAAGTTGGTCTGCCTGGGCGAGCCGACATGGCCAGCTTCCCTTGCAAGGAACCCTCTTGGCCACTTGGCCGCTCTTGGCTTGTGAAAGTAAACTTTCAAAACTTGTCGGAGTCGAAAAACAGTGTTTCCCGCAATGCTACCAGCACCACCGCCAACGCTGTAGTAAAGAAAGCAAACTAAATGAGAAGCGGGAATAAGGGGCTCATTATGATTCCCGATTTGACTCCATCCGCACAAAAATAGCAGAAGACATGAGTCCCTTCAAAAAGCGCTTTTGCAAAAAGACAAGTCCGTTGAGAAATTAAACTAGTGAAAGGTCCGCCTACTGCACTTCGGCTGAGGCTCACAAAGTGCCAGCACCTGGCAGCGAAACTTTGCTCGCCCTTGCCACAATTGCCTGCAGTGATGCGGTTCAGCTTGGCGTGCGCCAGCCATGCAAGGTTGTGGTTTCTGGCCTCCATGAGAATGGACAAGAACGATTTCCCAAGCGCATCTGTCCATCTATTGTGGAAATCCCGCAGGAAATCGGTGACGTCTCTGGGGGTCTTCACGTGGAACAGTATCACCTGGTCCGCCGTCCGCGGATTTTTGTAAATGCATGGTTAAAAAAAAGCCAGGGGCCCTTGGCAGTAACAAAGTTGGGAGTAGCCTGCGTCACGCAGCGCAAACGCGGAACACGGCTCGTGAACACGGCCAAAAGCTGACCATCCAATCCAGAATCCAGGTCCAATCCGCTAGCCCGAGCACAGAACCACCTACTGCGCTTGCGCTTGGGCTGTTGGAGCTGGAGCCGCGCGCCGTGCGCCTCGGCTTCGGCTTTGCTCCCGCGCACGCGCGCGCGTGTCAAGTCATGACAGTCGTGAGACAGTCGTGACAGTTCACTGTACGGTCATGCGGTCATGCCGATTGCGGATAGCCGGGCCAATGGTCAACTGCCACTCGTCATAGATTTTCGGCGAAGCAAGTTTGCTGCAATATCGCTGCCAAGTGTTCTTGAGTCAGTGGGTCCTAAGCCTCAGCAGGTTATCTAAGCTATAGGCCCCGACTTCAACAACTTCCTCTCCCACTTCTTCCAAAGAAGGTCGTAAGAAGGGCCTTTTCTCCCAGAAAGGAAGTAGAGTATAAGCAAGAGGCAAAGTGGTTAGCGGTTAGAGGAAATAGTTCCCTTTCATGTTTTAATTGTCTTCCAGGAAAAGCCTTCTCTGCAAGAAAGGAAAACGTATCAGCGATGAGCTCGTGTGCAAAAAGACGTCAAATGTCAAATGAACCAAAACAAGTCAAACAGACTGAACCCGTTCGCCTGAATTGAAGGCACACGAAAGAGGTTACTGGTCGTCGTCTTCCATGAAAGGTCTTGCCTGGCCCGCCAATTATCAAAACCAACAGGCCCAACAGGCTACTTTTCCAGTTACCTCCCTCAGGAGGTGAGCGGAAGAGGTTGCTGCTGCTTCAAAAGAGACCAAAGGTTGTCTCCCATGAAGGAGTTTCAAAAAAGCAAAGATATGAGCGCTTATTAGCCACAGGCTCAACCAGTCAATCGCCAATGCCAATAAACACAGAAAGCAAGAAAGCTCACATGGACCAACACACTGCCTCCCCAACGAGATGCTATAAGAGCCTTTTCCCAAGAAAGGAAAAATGTGTGAGCGATGGGCTCAGTCGGAACACATGGACGAACACGCTGCCTTGAAGCATTTGAAGGAATAGCTTCAAAAAGAAGTCGACTTCCATGAAGGGGGCCGCCTCTTTTCCCGAAGAAAGCAAAAGAGGAAGCAAGAAGTGCAAGAAGCTCAATCGGTAAACAGGCGCCAAAAGCTCACACGTCGACCAACACGCTTCCTCCCCCCAAGAGTGAAGCAGTTGAAGCAAAGTGAAAGAGGCCTGAAAGAGGTCACTGTTTCAAAACAAGGCCGGTCGTCCTTAGTAGTCTGCTCCTTTATCGTATGAGCCAGCATAGACACACCAAACAATTTAACGGATGAAAAAAAAGCCAGCATAGCTCATAGCTGCCAGAAAAACCACTAAGGCTTTCAGAGTCTCTAAGGCCCCTGCCCCTGTCAGGGGACGGCTCATGCTCCGCTTCAAGATCTCGTTGTGCGGTTCGGCAGACGCAGCGCGGTATGCTGCGCGAGTCAATGAACCCCACGACAGCATCTGGTACGGTGGCGCGTTGGAGGCCGACATCAATGCCCAAGGTTGCCCACGAATCTCCGGCCGGATGCCGTACTTGAGGCACTTCTTCTCCAACTTCCTGATGTGCTGCTCATGCGGCCGGTAGTTATCAGGATGCGGCTTCATCAACGGGTTGCCGGACTCATCCCACCAAGGGACTGAAGCTGAGGTGCTGATGGCATACAGGTCATAGATACGCTCAAGTTTCTCTGCGTCAGGCAGATCTGGCCATCGAGCTTGCACAGACACCATGGGCTCAAAGATCTCGCACCCGTGGCTGCCGCCGCCACCACTCCCACGCGCCGCCGCTGGACCAGCCAAAGCAGAAACCGCCATTGCAGCTGCAGACAAAGGCCCCGCTTCTTAGGGTCTGAGTAGGGTCGGAGGTCGCTTGTCTAAGCCAAAAGTGCAACTGGGACACACACGCGCACACACACACGCACGAGCGAGCAACTGGCGAGCAACCAAAAAAAAGGCGTCAGGAGTCAGCTGGAATGACACGGACATACGCAGCAACAACAGCAAGCGGCTGACCAACAGGAAGTGTCAGGAGTCAGCAGCTGACGGCGCAAATTCTGCATGCGGCCGTCAGGAAGCAGCGCCTGACCATTGCAAGCGTCGTCAGGAGCGCGATCCTAACAAGATGGGACTTCGTCAGGAACAGACGGCTGACGACGGGGTGTTGTCAGGAGTCACTGCCTGACAAGCATGACTTCATCAGGAACAAGGGGCTGACATGATGAAATTGTCAGGAAGCAGTGGCTGACAACAACACCTTCTCAGGAGTGTAGTTCTGACAAGAGATGCTCGTCAGGATTCAATGGCTGATGAAGTTTGCTTGGTCAGGAACTGACTCCTGACAGCACCGGGTTCGCGAGGAGCTCAATCCTGACAAGATGGCACTTCATCAGGAACAGACTACTGACGACGGGGTGTTGCCAGGAGTCACTGCCTGACAAGCATGACTTCATCAGGAACAAGGGGCTGACATGATGAAATTGTCAGGAGGCGGTGGCTGACAACAACATCTTGTCAGGAGTGTAGTTCTGACAAGAGATGCTTGTCAGGACCTAATGGCTGATGAAATTTGCTTGGTCAGGAACTGACTCCTGACAACACCGGGTTCGCCAGGAGCTCAATCCTGACAAGATGGCACATCATCAGGAACAGACTACTGACGACGGGGTGTTGCCAGGAGCCACTGCCTGACAAGCATGACTTCATCAGGAACAAGGGGCTGACATGATGAAATTGTCAGGAGGCGGTGGCTGACAACAACATCTTGTCAGGAGTGTAGTTCTGACAAGAGATGCTTGTCAGGACCTAATGGCTGATGAAATTTGCTTGGTCAGGAACTGACTCCTGACAACACCGGGTTCGCCAGGAGCTCAATCCTGACAAATTTCATTTTGGGCAGGAGTGTGTTCCTGATCAATTGCGTGACGTGTTTGTTTAAAACATATATCAAGTAATTCACATTGAAAGCGTTGAAGCGAAACCGTGTTTTGGCGACTTTCTCGGGAGCAGTTGCGGCCAACATGTGGGGCCAGGCGCTGGGTTTGCGCGTGGGTGCGTCTAGCTTGGGGCGGACGCTGAGGGCGCTGAGCCTCAGTGAAGGGGTATGCAACGCAAGCCCGTCTTTCTTTTGGGCCCTCCTAAAAAGTCTTAAAAGGCTCAGGAAATGCGCGACATGTCAACTTCGTCTTCTCATCTCACCTTGCATAAAAGTCACAATGCGTCAATGAGAGAAACTTGAGCTCAACTGCCTGGCTGCTCCCACACATCCCGTTGCCCCGCGCAACTTGGCATTATTTTCACACGCAGCAAGCGCGCAACTCAACCCCCTTGCCACGTCCTAGTTTATCTGGACATTGGAGGATGGCAAACCACGGCAATGGCGCTGTTGCGCGCGCACCATTGCGCAAAACCGTCTCAAAACCGTCAAAGAATCAAAGCCAAAGTCACGCCAGCGCAGATACGCTGGCATGAGATTTGTGCGAACCCCGCAATGCAATCGCAATCGGTGTCTCAAGCAAACGCTGAGCGCAAAAACTGGACAACGGCAGCTCAGCAAGGATGCGAGACAAATTGCACACCCCACAAAAATGCAAGTGAGAACGAAAAACCACGACCAAATATGAAAGAAAGCTACTCCCTTGCAGGCGGGGCCCCAAGGGCCGTCATGCACAGCTGGCAGCATGTGCCACCAGCGTTTGCTGGAGAGAAATGGTGCAACACATAAGCGAGAGCTTGGCTCAACATGTCCTCTGGCACGTCTAGCATTGCTTTGGTTTCGCTAGGGCTGGCCTGAGCTGCTGCGCGATTGGCGCAAGACAAATGCACGCTTTGCAGACAGAAAGCGCACACAAGAACTCCATGATCGCCATCGTCCCGAGCAGCGGTGGCGTTGCCGGGCCCGGGCACCAAGCCGCCTACTCCGCAAATGTGACAGGCATCCAGCGACAAACTTTCACATGCATTGCGGCTACCGTTGGCAAACGCAGCTTCAAACATATGTTTGAGTCGCAAAGCATCTGCTGGAAGATCTGGCCGGTCTGCCAGCCGCTGCCTGTGAGGGCACACGCCGGTCAGAGGCATGAGCACCTGTGAGCTACGGTGCGCGCCGCTCACATCACAGTTAAATTCACGGCACCTCGGGTTCGTGGCCACAACTTTGTTGCGTGTGTCAAGGTCAATGATGCGGCCAGACTTGCCCGCAAACCTCCATGCAACAAGCACAACCTCTGGCTCGTCGTGCTGCAGCTTAACCAGGGAAAGTTGAAGCGGCCATTCTCTGCCACCAGGTGGCAAATCTCGTTGCTCCGAAAGCCGACTGAGCAGTGTGACAGTCTTGCTGCATTCTTGAGCCCACACCAAAAGCCGCGCACCAGCGCCTATAGCCTGGCTAGAATCATCATCTGCGTCTGCATCTGCATCTGGATTCAGCGCGCCCCTTGAGCCGCCTGAGCCTTCTCCATCATTTCCAGGCTGCGAGCGCAGAGCAGTGCCAGGAAACGCGAGTTCTTGAAGAGAAGCTTCTCGAAGAGTGTCAGGCTCTGCGCACTCCAAGCCACTGCAGGCAGCTGCAGCAGAAGGCTCCTGCGTGGGCGACACAGGAAGCACATGGCGAAGCGCCACAAGGTCTGACTTGTTTGTTAACACAATACTGCCAAGAAAGCCATAGGCTCACATCTTTCAGCTCGCCCGGGGAAAGTACAATGCTAAAGTGAGTTGCCAAACGCTGGTGGCTCCCCCTCCAAGCCTGCAAAAGTCTGTTCTCTTCCCTCTCCACATCAGCTGCAGTTGCTTCCGCCTCGCCTTGCCAATCTGGCAAATCAACTTCTTCGCTTTCCGAATCTGAGGGGTCCAAATCTGCCAAAGCGTCCGCAAGCTCCTGGAGCAACACGTCCTCATCTGAAACAGCGCTCTGCACCTCATCATTGTTCGCAAGCTCCCACAAGCGTCTGCGCACAGACCCGGCGCGGTGACTGTCAGATCCTCCGCCAGCTGGCGCACATGCCGCCGAAAGCCCAGCGCGACACTCCAACCTTGTCACCAGATCACGAAGTTGTCCGCACTCAGCGCTGCTTCTGACTTTCTGCCGCGGAGGCGGGGCCACGGCGGTTGAGAAGCCGAAACACACCTGTCGCACCTCACCGTACAAGCTCTTGCTGTCACAGTCATACGCCCAGCAGAGGTGGACCAAGGAAGCCTCCCAAGGTGAGCTTGTCTTGGAGCTTGCTGGAGAGCGACGCGGCTCCTCAGTGGAGAGCGCTTACACTAACAAGAAGGAAAGCTTGGGAGACAAAGTTTCCATAGTTGCCGCGCTGTCTTGGGCTAGGGTTTGGGCAGCTGGTTGTTTATCCATGAACTCGAAGAACCCGTTAACAGAAACATAACAACATGTTGGGTCAAGATGGGTCAAGAGTCTCAAGAGTGTCGAGCTCTCGTTTTTTCTCAGAGATCCCTCGCAATGCAAAGCCCCTCCCCGCATCTGCGCTTGAACATATGTCGCTTGAGCTGGAAATAAAACACGCGTCTGTTCAGAGTTCAGAGTTGGGGAGACTCACTCTACTGAGGGCGTTGGGCCTCATTCACAGCACACATGTTGAATTCGAAATCAGAAAAGGCGCCATGCCCTGGGCCAGGCTTTCAAAGAGCGCCAGTGAGTCCACGCACTGCAGAGGAACATCAATGGTCACTCTCATGGGCTGCCCGCGGCGAGGAGCCGTGACAGTTGCTGCTACCATCATTGCTGTTGAGTACGACTTAGACGCCACGAAATGCACCCGTTCTCCACCCTGCAAGTCCTCAGTAGAATGACACCTGCGTCGTGTGAAGAGCACGCACGAGGCCGCTGTGGCTCGACGCACAAGCCGGTGTAGCTTGAGCTGCACAGCCTTGCAGGCTGCGAGCCAGTGACTGGCTCAACGCTGCCCCAACACTGAGATTCACCCTGTTCTTTGTGTGTGGGCTTGAAAACAAAAAAGTCCTCAAGTTGCCAGCTACCAGCCAACTAGCTGTCTTGAAGAAAGGCTGTCGTGAAGCTGTCTTGGCTTGGAGTCTGGAAGGCAGAGGATTGGGTTAAAACTGGGAGTGTGTCAAAGGTGAAAACAACACCTAGCTTCAAGCTGGAAGCTGACAAACTAGAACCAAGAACTAACAACGTGGGATCTTGGTTTGGCGCCTTTGGTTAAAACGTGCGCCTGGCCTGCCCCCTACCTTCCAGATTGCGTTGCCACGCTGCCAAAGTGTAACAAGTTGTTGCCATGTCAAGAATGTCAAGCAGCAACAATGGACCGCGACTGAGAGCTGCTGAACTTGCCGAGCAGCATGGGCCCAAGCAGCGTGGGGTGACGCAGTAGCCCTTTTCCTAGCACAGTCGGTGTCGCGCAGATGCAGCACTTCCTCAGCCTTCGCAGCATCTTCGCTGGCCGCCGGACGCGACCATCTCTCTGGGTTCGCCAGTACTGACAATGCGTCTTTGTAGTGCGTCAAAGAATCCTGGCGCAAGATTGCAGTGCGCCAAACATCTGCAACGCCATCCAACCCAAGCTCAAAACAACCGACTTGTTGACTTGACGAGAGAGGCCACAGAGTGCAGAAATGAATCTGACCACCCTTTTCCGGCCAAGCTTGGAACAGCTTCGCTTGCCAGAAGCTCATCTGCGCGTAGACGTCAGCATCAACAAATCAAAGGGCCCAAAAGCAGGCTCTAACTTGGCTCTCGAAGCTACCCATCGCAACCCAGCGCGGATCATTGCACTAACTTGCTAGAGAATCATAACATCGTTTTACATAGCTCAACTTCCACCAGAGCAACACCCTGGCAACTA